ATATTAAACCCTCTAAGTGATGAAGATCTCAGTGTCTTGATGCAAATTCCTATCAGAGTGGTTTTGGTAAAGATTATCCTGTCTGGGCTAGGTGACTTTGTTGTTGTTCTGTTCCACTCAATTTATCTTGTTCCTTTGTATTTAAAGACAACCAAAAGTTTCCGCTGTAGCAAAACCATCTGGATCACTTGATTCAAGGGCTTAAGGTCTCTTTGGCTTATTAAGTGCTCTAGCAGCACAAGTGTTATCCTCACCATAAAGCAGAAGTTGTGGTGTCACCTAGTTTAAAAAGAAGGATTCCTGGCTTAGCAGCCTGTATCTGATCTCTCACCTATGAATAGTGTGTGGCTCTGTCTGCTTGGGAATTAGTTATTGAGCCTGTATCCCCCCAACACAGGGTCCAGTTTGTTCTTTAAACCAAAGAGATCAGATCACCCATGGCAGGTTTTTTCCTGTTTGTTTTCTTACTTCAGTAACTTGCTGAGTTTTGCTCTGTAAGTGCATTTGACTTAGTGTTGTTTTTGTTAGCTAGTAAGCAAGAGAAGTGTAGATATCTGCCAATTTTACTGCCTTTCAGTGTCCAAAGGAGCAGGCTTTAGAAGTTCCTCCAGCATGCATATTTTATATACTTGTTTTAAACTGCTACAACTATATATAAACTTCTAGGCATTTCCTTTTCTTCTCTTGCTTCTTGTAACACTTCTTTCTCTAACTCTGATAGAATTTAGACCTATATAGAGAGACCTCGTCTCACTGTTAGAGAAAAATGCATGGTTGGTTTCTTTCTATTTTCTTTCGTGAGTATCATGCTGAAACTTTTGTTTTTAAGAGCCCTGACTTTGAATGACTGACCCACTTCAGAGGATTTGATACATACCTGTGTAGTAAATCCTTGTAGACAGAGGCAAATCATAGCTGCATTTTTGAGTTTTTGCTGCTCTATGCTACTATTCTTTCAGTGTTCAGCCTTCCAGGGGTTTAATAAAAGGATGAAGAAAGTCCAAATATTGTTCTTATTAACCTGTAGTTCTGAAGTGCCCTTTAGATGAAGAGGTACTAGCTGATTTACTGGGCATCCTTTTTCTAAAAGCGCTGCCTGCCTCGTACACAGAATGCTTAACCAGTACAAATGCCTGTCAGGCTTGTTGTAAACAGCTTCCTTATGGGAATTGGACGTTTTGTTCCTCCAAATGGGAGAACCTTGCCATTTCTGGACATCATTTAAAAGGAGGTGAACTGAACATCAGTATGTGCTGTAGTATTACAATCAGGGTAATGTATAGTTTGATTAGTTTGTGCATGCACACTTCCAGTGTTGTTTCTCCTGTAATAATCCTTAGGCTCTGTCATTTTTTTTTTTTACATATCTTCGAGTTGTTTAGGTTTTCTTCAGGGTGGAGGAAATAAGGACATACAACCACTTAAATCCAATTTTGTTTATCTTCTACAGAAATCTTTTAAAATGAAATAACTGAACACTTTCTATTGATTTGGAGGAGGTTGTTTTGGTTCTAAGCAGGTTTTCTGTAGGGCATGTAACAGTGGAAGGGTTGAACATGCGAGTGCGTGAAGAGACAGCCAGTCAGCTTTATATTACAACTTAGTTGACACTGCAGGAAAAGCAAAACTTACCTAAAAAATGAACAAATAGCATGATGACTATAGTTTTTCAAATATCCTGAATAATCTAGTTAAGGTATTATTTTAACTTTAAATTTCACAGTTGTTAGACAAGGTTTGAAGGAGTGGAAAACTTACCTGTGTGTATCGTTATTTGGCTTCTCTAGGACAGACCACTTGTATGTCTTCTTTATCCAGTGGAGTCCTGAGATATATGCAGAGGATACTGGGGAATCCATTCGGGAACCTGGATTTATAGTGATAAAAAAGAATGAGGAGGCTGAAACTAGTGAAGAATCTACTCCTGAAGAAGCTGCTAAAGAATGGGAGGTAAGGAAGAATGCTGTCAGTGATGGCTTTTTTCAATATATACTTGGAAATACTTGGTACATCTTAACTGTTTTTATGAGTATTTAAATAAAACTGTACACAATCATAATTGTTTAATTGTGCCATTCTAATACTTTGCTCTAGCATCAGTTCAGGCAACGTTTCACAATTGCAGCTTGCTCCATACTTAAAGGATTTGTAGCTTAAAACTCAGAGCGGAACTGGTGATTTTGATAAAGCAGATTTACCTGTCAGTGCTTGACCAAAAACTATGCGTTTTTGTGTCCTTATGGAGTGTTGAATATGTGTTGATATATCTCAAAACAACAAGACTACAAACAAGGGAATAATATATTAATAAGAATATTTTCTAGTAATTTGGTAATTAACTTCATACCTAAATATGTAAAATGCCGATGCTTATATTTTAGTAATATTCTGTCACTGAAATTATTTTTCCAATTTCTTTTTTGTAACAAGCACATTACTCCCATGTGAGTCTGTGTCCACTGTGTTTATATGGACACATCTTTACACGTCTGCCTGGTTTGGTTTTCTAGTGTATGTCCAATTAAAGCACTCGTGGTTCTGTGCATTGGAGCTTGTTGGTCCAAACCGATTCGTGTCACATGTGCTGTAGAAGTGTCCACCAGCACTGTTTAACTCCAGTCTCAGGAGAGCGACTGTAATCTGTAATCTGTAAACCTGTCTTTTTTGAGTATGTAGAAGTCAGAGTTTTACGTTTGCTTATCTAGGGTCTAAAATCCTAAATCGCAATAGCCTAACGGTGAGTAATAACTTTTAGGGATATGAAATGTTAGAATCCCAGTAGCATTCCAACTTCAGACTTTTTCCTTAGCTAAAAGATTAGGCTGTGGATAACAGAACACTCAAGCTCTGAAGTTAAGTAGTTTGGCTTAGAATTTTGCTTTAAGTTATTGCAATTAGTATCATTATACATATTATGTCTCCGACTGTTCATATTCCAGTTCTCAGCATGCCTGTTGCAACCTGGTTACCAGCCATATATCTTAGTAATAACTCTCCTTCAAAGCTTTTTATAAGTATCTGATCTTTCAAAATTTTGCCTTTTGGAATGCAGGACAGACTGGTGTGTGATCTCTGTTATGGCACAGGGTATCTTTGAATAGGCTGTTCAGTAACTTTAATGTAAATAGAGAGCCATTTCCACAGAAAGTGGTTCTTGGTACAAAACCTCATGAGGGTTAAATGCTAATTCTCTTTTTGAGTTATCTCTGAAGGTACTGAAGGCAGTCCCCTTGCTGGTATCAGCATATTAATTTTACTGTAGAATGGGCTCTTATAATGAGGCTTTATTTAGATCTCTTCTGAAAACAGAATTGTAGAATTCAAAAACATCAACTTATATATAATTGCAATCCGTTATGTAAAAACTCTCTCAAAGGTGGTTCTCTTCATTAAATAGTTTTCTGGATTGCATTTAGGAGTTGGTATGATTCAAGATGGATAACTTATTTGCATGACATCTTTAGGTTTATATGAAAAAAGCTAGTGTAATCTTCTGTGCATTGAAATTGCCAAATAATATGACTTCTCATTATCTTACATAAACTTAATGCTAGCACAGATCTGAAAAAGCAGTGAAAAGCTACGCTTTTTTTTTAAATAGTAAGTTTTTAAAAAAGTAAATAAAAATGCTTATCTTCTAGCTTTATCAGATTCTGCTACCTGTCATTACACATAGCTCCACTATAGCTATAATGCGTGCCAGAAAGTCTCAATACAGGGAGTTGTAACTGCTCTTATCATACCCGTTATTCCCATGGGATTTCATTGCTTCTCTTTGGTATGCTCCTGTCTTATAATACAATGAGCTGCTGCTTTGTCAACTCTTGATGGTTGTTCCGGATGTATCTCAAACTTTTGTGTGGATATTGTGGTGAAAAACAGGCCACGTTCTTCTGAACGCGGTGCTAAAAAACTCACGGTGGAAACTGAAAACAAAATCCCGATGTACAAATACATCACAAATCTCTTGAATTGCCCAAAGACAAGGCTGGTGAGTTTGCTTTTTGTAAGGTTGTTCTATTTGTGTTCTAAATCTGAAAAACCTAGAGAAACAGGGAGATGCATAAGTGGATGACCTGGGTATGGTAGTTGGGGGCAGTCAGTTTTGCATCTCTGTTTGCTTAGGGTTATGTTATCGTGTTCTCCTTACCGTTTAGATCTGACAACGCTGCGTCTAAGCACCATGTTATTTACTACAGAGTTTTCAGTAAATCAGTAGTACATTCATACCTGCTTCTAATAGAGAGCCCTACCTATGTGGGGTGACTAATAGAGGGTATCAGAGTCAGTTACTTTGTTTAAAATAACTAAATGTATGGAGGTCTTCCTCGATGTTGTTGTTCCTCAGTATCTGCCAGCTCCAGATACCAGCTGTCCCGTTGGCAGAGATCTGTCCCCTCACCCCAACAACAACAAAACCTTTTCCTTCAAAATCAAGCCTGCTGAGGACTTTTCACAGCTGCTAGAGATGAATAAAAGAGTTTATGTTGCTTAAAACCCTGCTACTAGGCTCTCAGGGTTTATCTCCACTTGCTTTCCTCAAGTCTCTATTTCAGTGCCCTGTGTTTAAATAAATGTGAACATTCATCAGGGAAGGGATCTTTTCCTGCTATCCGTCCCAAGCCGTGGGGGAGTAGAGGTATATTTTTGTAGCTTTTTTTTTTTTTTTTTAATTAGGGTATGAATTCTGCTGTTAATGGCTTTCTGCACATTAGGGTCTAGGAACCCATATGTCGATAAACAGAGACTTGCTCCAAAACATCCTGCACTTGTGTCCAACCAGGGCCAGACTTGTTTGGATTAAGTTTTCCTCAAGATTGAGCCACATGTGCAGGAATTTATGAAGTAACATTAAGATGCGTGCCATCATATGTTAATTTAATTATGTGCTGGCACTTCTCTGATGCCATTTAGCATCATACGTTGAAAGCATTAAGCAGTATGTAACTGGGGCTGATAAAAGAATGGATCAGCAGGATCTGGAAGCTGGGCTGTGTTCTCAGGCACCCCTGCAGGGCTGGGCTCTGTGCTCAGAGAATCTAAACATTTGTGAAGATAAACTGTGCACAAACGCTGCAAGAGGCCCCAAAGCCTGGCTTAAACTCGAGCTTCCAAGTAACGTGGCTGTTTTGTGTAATCTCTTTATGAAATAGTTAAATTAATATTTATTTCATTTATCAATTAATTATTATTTTGGGTGCATAATGGATTCTTTTGCAGAAAGAGATGGTGTTGATGTTTTCTGTAGGATATCTATTCTTATTCTTTTATGCATGCATAAAAAATAATTAAGGCAGAGGGCAACTTTTGTACCATACTTGGTCTTAGAGTAACTTCAGGAAAAACTACAGAAGCAAAAGTGCTGCTTCGTATGCATTGTTATTTGGTTTTTCTTTGAGATTTTTGTGGATTTTTTGGGTTTAAAAGATGCACTTTTTCTGTGCTGTGGTTCTGTTGTGCTGCTCAGCCGTCTTGGGTTTCAGTTATTCTGTTTTTCCTAGGATGGGCTCTGTTATCACAGCAGGCTCGTTTATGGTGGTGTTGCTATGTAAAGTGGCAGGTAGATAATTTCGAACTTACTGGAGTGTGAAGACACAGAAAGCAAGGGTATTTAATTAAAAAAACCTTTATTCTTATAGGAGGTATAGTGCTGAAATAAGAAGTGTGTTCTGCTGCGTTTATAAATCTAGATATAGTAGTTTTCTTCTCACTTCACTGTACAAATTATAGGAGGTATAGTGCTGAAATAATAAGTGTGTTCTGCGTTTATAAATCTAGATATAGTAGTTTTCTTCTCACTTCACTGTACAAATGTATTTCATAACTTCAGTTGCAGGGCTGCCTGAAGCAGCGTGGGGCACATCTGCCTGTTTTATCTCTTGTTTCACAATTTTTTCTTGTTATCTCTTGTTTCACTTTTCCTTTGGCTCTCTTTAAGCCCATGGAAGCCCATGTTATAATGTGAACCCATGGAAGCCCATGTTATAATGTGAACCCATGGAAGCCCATGTTATAATGTGAACTATGTCTGCTAATGGGGTTAGATAGCGATTTCGCCTCTTAAAATAGCCAAAGCAGGGAAGCTGCTGAAAGTGAAGCGAGTGTCACTGCTCGTTGGATAGGATAGTGTTTGTATAGCTTCCCTTCCTGAAGAAGGAAAGATCGGGGAAATAACCTCCTTTTCCTAACATACAAACAAACAAACCCTGTTAATGGGTGTGGGAGAATTCAACCTCCCAACCTTCCTTTTCCAGCCACAGCAACAGAATAATGGCAGCTACACAAACTGCAAGTGTTTTGCTCCAGTTCTGTTTTCCCTGGAATATGGAATGGCAGGGGTATAAACTAGGAACTGATTTGGAGTGGAAATCAGCTATTCATGTGTTGTACTATGTGTCATCTGTTGACTAGTACTCTCCTCTCTTCTACTTGTGGGTGTGTGTGTATATATATTTATATACATATTTTTGGACAGATTAGTTTATTGGGGAGAGGAGGGAGATAAATCATGAATAATTACCTAAAGGAGGACTATGCAATTCAACCCTAAATGTCTCTCTCCAATCAATATTAAGCTCGGGAAGTGACAAAATGCTGCAGTGTCGTTGGATGTGTTCGTTCTCTTTTCTTACCCGCACACACACAGGGTAAGAGGACAGTTTATTTGTCCTTACGAGACGTGCCCGGGCTCAGGGGTTGTGTGTTCACTCTTTTCCTCGGGATGGATGGATGATGAGAACGCTGTTCCCGGCGGGATATTCCCGGCAGCCACGCGAGGGGAGGCTGCTTAGGAGGCTGCTAGAGCCTCTCCTAGCCCTAAACCCCCACGTTACAGTTATCTGAAAAGTTATCTGCCAGCTCGTAGCAAGGAAAGGTTTAAGAAAGAGGAAGAAAAAAAAGAAAAAACTTTTGAAAAACTCTATCAGGAACCATTTTCATCTTCAGAGACC